CAGGCACGCGCGAATGGTCCTCTGCTTAGGGAATGGTGGGGGGGGCCGCCAACGTCAAACAGTGGGACCGGGGTATTCGCTGACAATTGGGCCACGATCAGGGGCGATGACTAGGCTCAGACGCCGAAATCCAAGACAAACCGCGCAGTGTTCCAGGGAGTCCGCAGCACCTTCCTGCCCGCAGTTCCAGCAACATCTGGCATGCCCATGATGGAACCTCGCACTGGTGCAGACACCTCTGGAAAGAATCCGTAGCGCCGCCGGGCCAAGACAGCCGGGGCCTGCAGCAACGACCATACGGATGATGTGGGAGGACCCCAGTGACTTGGTCAACGCCGACCCCAGGAAGCCACCGCAGGATTCGCTCAAGAAGGCAATGGAACGTGTAAACAACAACAGGTTGAGCGCGGTGAGTTTCTCTTGGGGCCCGTCAGCTTGAAGAGGTGTCTCACGCAGAGCGATGTGCTTCTCCCAATTCGACACCATCGACCAAACACATGTCTTCTGCCACCAAGGCCAGAGAGTGCGAGCAGGATGGGAGTCGTCTTGGAACGCCAGGGATGAGAGCAGTACACGTAGCTTCCCAAAAACAGCCGAAGCATGAGCAAGCCCAACCTGAGACGCGGTACCCACGCTGGCAACATCAGGGGACTCAATGGGCAACCCCAGGTCCCGCATGCGAGTGCACTTCGCACGGTTGATGAAGAAACGAGGGCCAGCGAGGAGTTTCTGCCGCGTGCTACCTTCACACCTGAACACATCCTTCGAGACTGGGTAGAATTGCATGACGAAGCGCAGAAGTGACGCAGCAAACACCACAGACGTTCGAATCGACATCGCAAAGCCAAGGCCCAATCGACGAATCTCAATACGTCGTTGGTGGTACTTCTTTAGCGCAGCAGTCCATGCATGTTGCCATCCGTCGGGCCCGATCTGAATCTCAAGGTACCTGGCATGCCGAACCACCTGAATAGCAACTGCCCCAAGCCCCAGATGTGTTATCATGCAGTAAATGTGCCGGCGAGAACGCTCCGTTAGCCCCAGGCCGCAGCGAATCAGAACGCACTTCCCGAGGTTCAATCAAAGCCCGATCCCTCTGTCCACCAGCGGCCGCCACGGAGGAAGCTCGACCCAAACATCGCGCATACCGAACCATGCATCATCTGCGTGCGCACGAATCCGGCGAGGGAACCGAGACGCCAACCATCGCGTACACGGATCAAGTGCCAGTGCAGAAAAGAACATGCTGGATGGGTCGCCCTGCCGAACTCCGCGACGGATGCGAATCGGGCGATGCCGCTGTCCGCCGAAGCAAACAAGTCCAGAGTTGCCCAAGTGCAACGCCTGCCTCGAGGAAACGGGCGACCCCAGGATGAGAGCCCATGGGGATCAATGCCCGGGGATGCCAGGAGACCGCGATGCTCGGGAACGCAGCGGCAACGCCGGCCAAGAACATGCAGGCGTTGTCCCACCCCAACATGCATTGCTGGACGCCCCAAATCTCAGCCTCAAGGATTTGGCCGGCCATGGAAAGCCCCGGCGAACAGGCTCATCCATTCAGAACCGTCTCGCGAGCACATCGTTCCAGCAGCCGCGAGAAAGCGAGAGACATGAGTTTGCAGTCTGCGTCGGCCATCGCAAGCGGTCGGCGCGCGCCAGAAAAGCGAGATGGGACAGATGAGAGGTCGGAAGCATGATCGCCCTTGGCGAGAAAGACCCACAGCACGTCGCGCATCGTCACAGGAAGCCCATTATCACGATACTGTATAAAGTGCACTTAGAGGTCGCGCAAGATCGCAATGAGACGAGGGCTCTTCCAACGCGAACAGACAATGCCGTCAGGGCCAGGCATGGTCACAGGAAGCCCATTATCACGATACTGTATAAAGTGCACTTAGAGGTCGCGCGAGATCGCAATGAGACGAGGGCTCTTCCAACGCGAACAGACAATGCCGTCAGGGCCAGGCATGGTCACAGGAAGCCCATTATCACGATACTGTATAAAGTGCACTTAGAGGTCGCGCGAGATCGCAATGAGACGAGGGCTCTTCCAACGCGAACAGACAATGCCGTCAGGGCCAGGCGTGGAGTTGCCGCGCCCTCTCACCATGTGTTCAAAGTCGTCAAACGGCGCCGCCCAGTCGTCAAACGACCCCAGAGATCGGGGCCACGAAAGACTCCAGAGAGTTGCAGACGTCCGCATCGCGCGCGTGCCCCCCGAATCTACACCCCCAGCGCGACGCGAGGGCCTCCCCGGCAAGCGGCGGGGGCCCCAGGGGGCCCCCGTCCGAGTCCAGGATGCCACCCAACGAAAATCGCGTGCGCATGGGCCTCCTGAGCTCCTTGCGCCCCCGAGACTTGGCCCGCGAGCGGGCCGCGGCTTCTGCGTCGGATTGCTGTTCAACTTCGAGCTCCAACTCCCTTCGGCACTACTGCTGCAGCGACTGGATGTGAGCGCGGAGGAGAGGCGGAGAGCGGCAGGTGCAGTCGGCGACGTTGAAGAACCGAGCCAGCTCAGGATAGCGCTCGAATGGGTGAGGGAGACGCCCCACTGACTGCGCCCGAATGCTCCGCAGAGCTGCCGGCGCGAAGTGCATCTTCTCATCGACCCTGGTAGCTAGCGATTGCTTCATTCGTTTATGAGTCTGGTGGCAGGCCTCCCACATGCACTGCTTAACCTAGGCGATTTGGCCCCCGATCGGGCTGGACCCATCGAGGATTTCCAAGAAGAACTCGAGGTCGACGCGGGGGGTCGGGCTCGAGCGCGCCCTGGACGGGGCCCGAGGAAACGCGGGCGGAGAATGTTTCCGAATAGCGGCCATCGCGAGCACGTGGTCCGGGGCGCCCCCAAGAAACGCAGCCTTCCCATCGCAGAGCAGCTGGCCGTGAAATCCGCCGGGATGGCCGAGGGGCGAGTGAGGTAGATCCGATCCAGTCGACTAACATGGACAAGAGCACCTTGATATGTCTCCCGTCGCGTCGGCTCTGGCCGGCGGGCCTCCGCCCGTCGAAGAACCCTCGGAGCGCCCTATGTCTGCGTCGGTCCCCTGGGCGCCGCCCACTTCCATCGGCGCGGCGCCTTCCGTCTTTCTCGAGGGGGAAAATGAGCGCCCCCGCGGACTAGCGCCAGCGCGTCGCCCGAGTTCGCAATGGCATTCAGAATCCGCCGAAGGTTGCGACGGCAAGCCCGCGAGGGCTCACCAGAGACAGGAAAAACATTTCATACCCAGAGGGCCCCATGCTACCCGCAACATTTGGCAAGAAGCACCCTGCCTGGGACAATCGCATGGCGGTCGATGTCCGAGAAGAGCGTGCAGAGACCAGTGAGGAGAAAAGTGGGAACGCACCCAGCGATAGACGAATCCCAACCAAAACCAATCGACGCACCTCGCAAGTTATGCAGAATAGCCTTGACGCCACCCTCAGTGCCGTGAGTCTCTAGAAGACAAAGAATAATGGGCCGTCTGGAATTTGAAAGAAACTGCATGCACCGTCGGGGGACACAGGGCGAGGCGTGGGAGATGGATGGAACGAGCCCCCTAGATTTCCACGATGTAGCAGAGAGAGCATGGGGCGGCGGCGGCGATAAAAGGCATGTGCTTTTCTGAAGGGCGCCCCCCTCCATCGCGCGCTACACTGGACTGGCGCGCTCGGGCGGGATTCCCGCCGGGGGGAGAATTGCGCCCCCCCCCCCCCCGCCCCCCCAGCGGCGGCGCCCCCGGGGCCGCTGTGAAAATTTGTGCTGCCTCGCCCGTCTCTTTCACCCTCAAAAGGGGCAGAGGGGGGCGACGTCGTGCGCGGCCTGGAACTTCGGGAGGGCAGCTTCAAGGCATAGAGACACTTCGACCCACTGCGTCTACTGACATGTAGATAGTCAGTGGGTCATCGGGGCAACACTTTAAATCAAACAACGGGGCAGGCTCCTCCTTCGAGCGAGGCGCGAACACGTCCCCACCGATCCCCCTCGAAGTCGCCTGGGGCCCTACTTTGTTCAGTTCTTCCAACAGAGCGTGGCGGACTTTCCCCATCTTGAGAAAGAGCAGGCGATGCTGAGGAGAAAGGTTGCGACGCGCCTTAAGCTGCCACAGGTCATTATGGTCCTTGGGGTTCTGCACGGTGTGCATCTCACTCAGCTTCCGAAAGTTGTTAGAGAAAAGAACTGCCATCGCTGGAGACGGGGGGTCAAGGGTGACCTTCTTCTGCAGATCATGAGCTCGCGCGCGAATGAGTTTGCCCGCCTGTTCCGTCGCTAACTTGGAGATGATATCTTGTGCCGCGCGATCGAGAGAGGTCGCCGACCACCTGTCCTTGATCCCGAACATGAGTAAACTGTGGGCATCTTCCATCTGCCGCCCCCAAACGCTTCGATACTGTCATTGGGACCGAATGGAATGCAGGGGCGCGGGAGATGAAGGTCTGATGAGCAACCTCGAGAGCATCCAACGTCGCCTGACTTGCATCAGTGCTCACGCAGGCCGATTCAATCTTGTCCGACATCTCACGCACCTCTCGACTCTGGGCTGTCACAGTCGTGCTGATCGCGGAGAGCTTCTGGTCGAGCAACACACTGGTGGACGAGAGGTGATCTGCTACCAACTGCTTGATCGAAACGATATCCGCCATGGCAGCAGCAAACAGCAAAGGAGGTGCGCATCACGCAAATTGAAATGGAATCGGGAGGCCGAAACAGGCCTCTGTGGCCGGGAGCTCGACAGGCCCTCGGCTGCGTCCAAGCTCGAACCACCAGGCCAATCCCTACGAACTTGAGCCAAAACGGCTACGGAGGATGACGATGGTAATGGTGTTGATGAGGATACTGATGAGGGTGGTGCTGCTGATAATGACGATGCTGGAGGTCAACCAGAAGGTGCTTCTTGGCGTGCGCTTCGCTGTCCATCCATAAGAGAGCTACGTGTTCGCAATCCGTGGTAGCTGCTTGGTGCTGCTCGCTCCACGGCAACAGAAACGTTAACTTGTACTGCTTCGGGTTGGAGCTGGCGTCACCTCTCCACGAGGCTCCCTATGGGAGTGACGTAGGCGCCACGGAGGCCCTTCTTTGCTTGTGGAACGTGGTCAGCTGTCGCACGAGCGTTGCAACGGCGAGGACCTCAGGAGACCTGCGGACACCTCATTTGACGTATGGGTTGCTGGCCAGTGGGGGGTCCTAGCAAGGCTGTGCTGATCCGAAGCACCAAGCTGCACACTTGAAGAATTCCCAAAACAAACAATCGTTTGATCCTTTGGAAGGCATGCGTCAATGAATGAAACGTGATAAAAGTGGTCAGGGAACCTTGGATGCTACTCCATTGTTCAGGGGTCCCAATGCTGCTCCCACTTGTCATGCCAGATCGAGAAACTTGTCGTGCGAGGTATTACACTCAAGTGTGTTGGTCAGGGCAATACCTCAAATACTGGAAATATGTTCGAGTCACCGAGGAGCTTACCCGCGCAGGAGCGTTGAACCAGTAAGAAGCACGGTGACACACTCTACAGCCACTTGCGAAGCATGCTTGCGGTGGCTCTTCTGCGACCGCCAGACATCGGCACATACTGTGTGAAACTATGGGATCTCGCCGATCTGCCCATCTTGCCGCTCGCCCGTGGGGGCTCAGAAGACTAAAACTGGTACCGCTGCTTCGCCTGTCCTGGCCTGGCCGAGAAGAGGAGGGCAGAGTTCGAGTTCTGGGAATGTTCGAAATGAACTTGCGGCTGGTGAGCAACGTGCTCTTCTAACACAGACGATGAGTGGCTTCTGGTATGTCGCTGACAGGTCTGACAAGATGCCTGACATGTCCACGGAAAGGTCCCCGACAGGCCTCTGTCAGGTCATTGGCAAATCTCAGACGTGTCACTGACAGGTGCCACTGAAAGGTGCCACTGACAGGTCACTGACAAATCCCTGACAAGTCCTGACATGTCTCTGACAAGCCTCTGACAACTCGCGGACAGGTCTCTGACCGGTCCCTGCGAAGTCCCCCACGGGTCAGGTGTCTGGGCGGGCGCAGTCTGGCGCCGCGACCAGCAAACGTCGACGCGAGCGACGACGACGACCACGACGACGACGACGACGACGACGGCGACCATTGCAAGAACCATGACGACGGCGACGACGATGACGACGCGGACCTGGGGAGGCCTGGGGGGGCCCCGGGGGGAGTGTGGTCGTAAGCGCAATGCAGTCCCGGCTCAGACAAAATGCCAGCCTGCCGCTGCAACTCCCACGCCCGAAGGGGCCGAGCTACACCCGACGACGCGAGGACGCCGAGGAAGAAGGGATGAGGTGTGAGGAAGAGCAACGTGCGCAAGCAACAGCTTTCGGAGGTCCGCGCGGATTTCTCGGATCAGCGCTGGACCCCCTCCCTGGCGCGCGGAGCGCGCCAAGGGGCGGCGCTGGAGGCGCCGCCAGGGGGGCCCAGCGCCGACTCACGAAATCCGCATGGATTGAACACTTCTGCTTATGCAGCTTTGCTCCTCGAGAGGAGGGGTGGGAGGAGCAGGCGAAGGAGTCGACGTAGCCTGAGGAGGAGGGGAAGGAGGATGAGGAGGAGAAGGCGGCGGGCCACGTCAGCATGATCTCATGGCTCAGAGAGAGAGAGAGAGAGAGAGAGAGAGAGAGAGAGAGGAGGAGGAGGAGGAGGAGGAGGAGGAGGAGGAGGAGGAGGAGGAGGAGGGAGGAGGAGGAGGAGGAGAGAGGAGGAGGAGGAGGAGGAGGAGGAGGAGGAGGAGGAGGAGCACGAGGACGAGGAGGAGAAATGGGAGCATAATGGGACCCTGCCGCTGCACCTGGTCAGCGCCGAGGGTGTGGGGCGGGGGAAGGTGTTGCGCGCTCTTGCTCCGGGGTCCTTGGCCAGCTCGCGCACGCGCGCCTGGGCGGGGGGGGAGGGGAGGATGAGGAGGATGAGGAGGATGAGGATGAGGAGAAGGAGGAGGAGGAGGAGGAGGAGGAGGAGGAGGAGGGGCATGTGGAGGAATGAGCGAATGAATGTCCTTCGTGGTCCAATGTGTCTCTGCTCTTTACATGCCCACTGCAGTGTGTACTATGAAACCCCGCGGACGAAGATGTGCTACACATCGGCTGGAGTTCGGCCAAATCGATTCCATATCTATGCATGTCGAGGAGGGAGAGGAGGTGGGAGGTAGGAGGACGACGGGGATGAGGGAGAGGGCGAGGCGGAGGAGGATGTGGCGTGAGGAGGCAGGAGGAGGGGACGATGATGAGGAGGCATACCTATCACGAATCTGGTGAAATGGATGAGGCACAAAGAGGATGCGTAGGATGAGGAGCAGGGATGAGGAATTCCGAAGAGATAGGAGGGAAATGAAGAGGAGGACGCAGCAGAAGGCATGAGTAGGCAGGAGGATGGCGACGGTGCAGAGAGCACGAAAGGAAGGCAGGAGGGGGAGGCAGGCGGATGCGGTAAAGGGTGAGAACGCAAGGCAAGGCATGAGGAGGAGGAGGAGGAGGAGGAGGAGGAGGAGGAGGAGGAAAGCCTCTTCACGCTCTCGGCCCGGGCCGAACGTTTCGCTCCCATCCCCGCTCATTCATGCTTGCTCCTCGCTTCTGAATGTGATTCTGCTCCTCCCCCTGCACGCCCACCGTGACACCCTCGCTCGATCAGTCTTTGACTCTGCCCGTTCGTCCTTCGCTGTTGCTCCTTACCTCGCCCTTGTAAACATCTCTTTCTCGTCGCACCACCAGACGCGTCGGAAGGGCGATGCCAGCGTTTCGCACCCAGACGCCATCACATCCTGAATATTACAAGCCAGCCGCTCTGCGGTTGGTCGGGAGCTTCTGTGTACAGCAGAAGGGGCGTGTGCTCGTGGGCGAAGAGGAGAATGAGCGGGGGGCGGTGGTGCCGCGGGTGAGGATTGCGCCCAGGCGAGAGGAGACTAGGCGTGTGCCTGTGGGCGAGCGGGAGCCCCAGCATGGGGCACGCCCAGGTCGACCTTTGTGGGGGTGTCTCGAGCGAGGGCACCGCACTGGGCCACGCCCGGTGCGCCCCTGTGCGCGCGCGCGCGCCCCGGCGCGCGCGCCGGCAGATCTGCGGAAATGGCTCCTGGGGGCGCTGTGGGGCCTGGCTCTCTCGCGCGCCGGGGGTCGACTTTGGGGGGATGTCTCGAGCGAGAGCCCTGGACTGGGATACGCCCGGTGCGCCCCGGCGCGCGCTGGCAGATCCCCAGACATGGTCCCTGGGTAGGGGCGCTGTAGGGCCTGACGTTTTCGCGCGCCAGTGGCCGACTTTGAGGGGATGTCTCGAACAGGAACCCCGGAGTGGGACACGAGCGGTGCGCCCTGGCGCGCGTTTGCGGGGCCTCCTCGGGCCTCGGGGAAGACTCGGGAGGCCGGTTGTCTGAGGATGTGCCACGCGAGGGCGCCGGTTTGGAATTCGTCGCCGGATTTCCTGGATCTTCCCGCAACGGAACAAGGGGGCCTCTGAGGGCCTCCTTGGGGAGGCTCGGGGGGCCGGTTTTCTGAGGATGTCCCACGCGAGCGCGCCCGTTCGGAATTCGTCGTTGGGTTGTCCCGGATTTCCTGGAAGCGGAACAAGAGGGCAGATGAAGTCCCACGCGACGGCGCCCGTTTGTAATTCGCCGCCAGATTTCCTAGATACCCAGGATTTCCCATATACGCTGGACACACTTCTGCCTCGCGAGAGCAGAGCGCAGGAATCTGCCAAGGATGCCCTCTCTCTCCGTTCTTGCTCGCCATGGTCATGACAGTCCTCATGACCGATGCGAAACATGCAGTGGGAACGGCTTCGGACAAGGTCGACGACCTCGTGTACGCAGACGACACCCTGATCGTGACCGCGAACGAGGACAAAGCAACCGAGTGCATGAAAACCATCTCGGATGCTGGCGCCAACTACGGTCTGTGCTACAATTGGTGGAAGCTGAGGCGCGGCTGGTGCGGTGCCAAACGACTAGATCGAAACCCGATGGTCACACAGTTGTCCAGAAGGAGAGTATCGTGTACCTGGGAAACGTGCTCTCATCCGACGGCAGCGTCGGCGCTGCGCTTTCGAGATGGCTTGGGGCGGCGAGGTCTGAGTTCGACAAGCTCGCTCGCATATGGCATCATAGCACCCTGTCCGCGAACATGAAATAGTGATTTTCAGCGCGTGCGTAATCTCAAAGCAGTTGTACAGCCTCCACACGGCATGGTTGAAAGCAGCAGAACTGTCGAACTCAGACGCTTTCCAAGCACGCTGTCTGCGCAAGGTATTCGGGATCCCGCGCTCTTACACGAGTCGCGTGACCAATGCTTCAGTGCTTGGCCAAGCGAGGCAAAGCAGGCTGAGCAATGTCTTGCTGGAGCGACAACTCACACTTCTGGGCAAGATTGTGCGCGTGGGCGACAGCCATCCTCTGCGCGAGTGTCACTTTCGACCCGGAAGCGTGGAACTCCAAGATCCACCCTCAGACCGCCAGCGCGGCCGTCCCAGACAGGTGTGGGCGCGCGAGGTGTAGAAACACACTGTGCATGCATGTGTATTAAGAAACATCAATGTTCAGAAGTCGGTGTCATGCCGGCAAGCGTCTGGAAGAGCACGGTGCGAGAGTACAGTCGCTCTCGCAAGCTCCTTTCCATTGCTCACGTGCGCGTCACACGTCTGTTTTTTGCCGCCTTTCCCCTCCACCTTTCCCTCTGCCCTCTCCTTCCGTGACCTGCCCAGCGGAAGGGTCTTATCGTGCAACTGCCATCACGAGTTTTAGGGGTGAATTGTACAAGCCAGAATGTTAGCCCAACTCCCCCGCCAGCCTGCCTGCGGGGTGGTGTCGTCGTCCCCCCTCTTCCTTCGCCGTCCTGCGTCGCTCCTCTGCCTGTTCTCTCTCTCTCTCTCTCTCATGCTCGTCCCCAGGCTGTCGCCAGGTCGTCGCTCTCCTCCCTCCTCGCGGGTGTCGTTCCCTGTCGCTTGCTTTCCTCCCTTTCCCGGCTCCGGGCCCGTCCTGGACCCCGGGTGTCGTTCCTTCCTCTGCCCCTCTGCTGCCGTTGCTCTCCCGGGTCGTCCACCTTGCTAGCATGTTGGTGGTGAGAGGGTGGTGCAGAAAGATATGCTTTCGCCATGCCGTGCCTGTCGTGTTTTGTATGGCGCCTCACTGCTTCTGCTTCATAGCCGCGCCACCGGCAGTGGTTCTTGCTTCACCGCTTTGCCAACGCACGTTTGTGACGTGCACGGCTTCTCCCTCTCGGATCAAGAGGGGGTCGCGCCTGGCGGGCCCATTCCCTTGCGCGCCAGGGGTCAGGACGACGTGAATTCTCAAGACAAGCTCCCCAAAACAACATCCAACACGGATTAACGGCGTTTTATGTTTGTGTTTTTGATTCCACGATTGTTGTCGTAAGACCCCAAACAGCTCCTTGGAGTTCCCAGGGAAGAGCTGTATACGTTGATCTAGTGATTACTGCAATCGGCACTAGGAGGAAGACGACGACGGAGACCAAAAGGGAGACAATGAATGAGACCATACGGGAGACCATGGGCCACCGAGCCACCGATTCCAGATCTAGAGGACCTCACACCGGGCCTTCGAGCATCACGCACGAGCCCAACAGATAAGGTGTTGAAGAACACTCTCGCCATAGCCTCAAACACCCTTACGTTGCTGCGCTCCCTTTGTTTCAAGTGTTACGTCGGTGCAGGACAAGTGGTGTTTAATCGATGGCCCTCGCTTGGATCTTCCTTATCTTGTGCATTAACAAACAAAGCCAAGGTTTTACCAGACACGCGCTCTCAAAATCAGGCTCTTGCTTAGACCTCTCTTTCCTCTTTTGAGCCCACACATGCAACTTCCGCCAGCTTCGCGGATGGAGGGCGGTTCCGCGCGCCCCCCCAACCCCTCCCCTCCTTGCCTCCCTCCCCATCCCCACCCCCTGCCTCCCTTCTCTCGCTCCTCCCCCTCAGCCCTCCACGCATCGAACAAGTCAAGACTGCTGCTTTTCGCAGTTCTCGACCTCCAGCAGCCCTTGCTCGTCCGCCGGGGCCATTCAACAGAAAGGCTCGGGATGAGAAGCTGGCACCGGGGAAGAGGACGGGACTTCCGGGGGCCCCGTAACGCGCAAATCAAGGACGCGGATCTCTGGGCGAAGGATTGCAACGAAGGATTGCAACGAAGGATTGAAAAAAAAAAAAAACCCTTCGTTTTTTGCAACCCTTCGTTTATTTTGCAATCCTTCGTTTTTTTTGCAATCCTTCGTTTTTTGCAATCCTTCTGCCCCCCCCTTGGTGCAGCACGCCGCCGTGCCCAGCAATCGGGGGCGCCCGAAGGGGGAGCCTCCAGGAGGGGGGGGGAGGCAGACCATGGCCCGAGGCGCGCGCGCGGAGACGGAACAAAAACGAACACGGTGCCCAACAGCAGGGGTTGTCGCAAACCAGCAGCGGCCGCTGTTGGGCAGGCGGCCTTCTGCCTCAAGCGGACACGGGCCGCGGCGGCGCGGACCGCGCGTCCTGTTCCAAACGGACAGCAGCTGCTGTTGGGCATTGTGCCCCATTCTTTCCGTATCAATCTCGGTCGTGCCGAAAGAAGAGTGGGCCGCGACTTCCGGGGAGATATCATGGCCCCGACTTATGATGTTCCAACCTTCTTTAGCCTTGATCGCCAGGAAGAATGTCGAGCGCCCCAAACAAGTATCGAAACTCGAGGGTTTTCACCTGTCGGGCCCTGGGAGGCACTCGCCCGACACTGTTTCGACACTGTTTCGACGCTCTTTTGACTCTTGTCCGGGTGCTCGAAAACATTTCTGGGATGCGGTCCTTACTGCGGGATGACGATGAATACAAAAATGAGAGAGAACGATTAAACAAAAAGGTTTCTGCTATTTCTGCACAAGTTTCTGACTGGAGGAGAACGATAAAAAAAAAAACATGGTTTTCCAGCCCGCGGCCGGTTTTTTCTAATCGTCATCCCGGGCGCCGCCGCGTGAACACGACCCCCGGTCATTTATTAATCGTCATCCTCCATTAAGCAGGATGGGAACAACATAAGCCCCGGCCATGTTGCCCGCCTCGCGGGCGAGAGCGTCTGCCCAGCGTGCCGCAGTGCCGGCCCCAGCGGCGCCCAGCACCTCGCCAGCGGCTCCCGTGCCGCCCTGCTTCGCGGGGCGGGAAGCCGGGAGAGGCTCGGAACATTGACGCTCGGGAAATGGGAAGTGGCTCGCGTGTCGCGCCGGCGGCGCGATGTTTGAGCAGGGACCGACCGTCCCGGCATTCCTCGAGTCCTACCACGAAATGTTCCTAGACCCCCAGCATGTTCTAAGAACCAAAACAATGCTCTTAGAACACAAACCCAATGTGTGCAAACACGACAGACCTAGCCAGAAATGTTCTGAGAACATGTCGTGGAAATCCACAAAAGGTTCTTGGACCATTGTTTGGTAGGGCTATAAGCGAGCCAGGACGCTTCGCCACTGAATGAGATATGCTAGGGAAAAGTCCCCCCCCTTCTCCTGGCCATCACCCCCTTCTTGTAGAGGCCTCCCACCTGGGGTCCGGGTCGGTAGTAGGCGGGGTCCGAGCGTCGCGCCGCATCGCCGCTGCACCAGCGATGCATCGCCGATGCATTGGCGATGCATCGGCGACGTCGGCGATGCATCGGCGCCGCCGGAGTGGAGAGCATCGGGCTCCACGTCGGGCCGCACCGCCGATACAACAACAACGCGGCGGTATCCCCCGACCGCGTCCAACCTCCGACCCCCATCTGAGAAGCCGGGGCCTTGGCCGCCCCAGGCCAGCAGCGGCCCGCAGACGCGGGCCGGGCATCGCCGCGACCAAGACCGTCGTGCCTCTTGCTCTTGCTAGATAGTTGCCAGACAGTATCACACACACTGCACTTGAATGTAAAAAGAACTACTGACGACACTCATGCAATCAGTCTCATCATAACGAAGCCGCTGGTGTACGTGATTGCTCACATGGCCGATCGCTCAAGGTGTGAAAATAAAAGGTCGGCGGCGCGCCCGTGGGGGAAGTGAAAAGGAGCAGGCCTTCTCAGAAGGCTCGGAGCCCCCCCCCCGGCCCTCTGAGAATGAAGGGGCCCTGGGACACACAAATGAATGGACACAAATCACAGGATTCCTCATATTTTCCAATATTTTCTGGGCTTTCGTCTTCCCCCCCACTTCCCAGAGTTCCAATAGTTTTTCTGGGGAATCGTCGACTAATTGTGTGTGTCTGTGTGTCCTTTCCCCTCCTGAGAAAACTCCTCGCAGGGCCGGAGGGCCTCTGAGACGCCCCGCCGCCTTCTGCGAGGGCCTCCTCGCTCTCTCTTCCCCCCCCCCGCTCACCGCCGCCGCGCCAGGGGGGGGATCCCCCCGCGCCTCCAGGCCCTCCGACATCACGAC